TAGTCCGATCATGCAAGAAAGCAATTACTATGCATTCTGCCAGATTTTAAAGGGTAATTTGACGATAAAACATCTTCAATTTATAAAGAAAATGTACCACAATGTTCCTTCAATAAAAGCCTTCTATCAAAAATTACAACTGGAACATTATGCGTTAATATGTGAGAGTGGCTTCATGAAATTGTAACAACTGTTTTTTGATAAAAAAATCTGGAACAATTTGCCCTCTTTTGCTGGTAAGACATCATATCCATGAGTAACTTTTAATGATAGAGGTAGCTTTAGGCCTTAAGACTTAGACACTTCTTTAGAGCAATTTGTCCTCCATTGCTGCTGAGGAATTATATCCATGAGTAACCTTTAATATGAGAATGTTAGCTGTAGGCCTTAACAGTTTACATTTCTAGGTCACCCTATCCACAGGCCTCATCTATCCGAGTTGGAACAACCCGATCCAGTTTCTATTTAGTTCCATTATTGTGTGTTTATAGTAAATGTAGAAGCTCTTTTGTGGGCAATATAAAATTGGTGTAAATGACACTTATGAGCAACAACAGCACATTGAGGCTTTTGAATGGCTACAACTGTTTACATCTTCAAAGCCCATTTTCACAGCCTCAAAAAAGCAACATTGTCCCAGGGTTATTAATTAATACTGTATAAACAAAATGATAACTGCTTCATTACCTTGAAATGCCGATGAAGACTTTCTTATCATTAGCTCACTTCAAAGCCAGCTCTGTTTTTGTGGTCTTTTTGCCTGAGATAGTTCTTATTTGTGTCAGCTAGGGCATCAGACAAAAGATGCTTTATAATAGTCTGGAAATTATGAACATGAGCCTTCCAAAGCCGTTGTAGAAGAAGGTAATCATTGTGACCACACTCTTCTCAGAGGACAGACAGAGAGCGTCATCTGGCGTTACGGTCACACTGTCCCTCACTTGCTAATAACTGTTCTGGCCTAAGCATCAACTCTCCCCTTTAGGGCTTGTCTTTCTTAGGGAGCTAAAAGGAATGGCCGAGCAGAGAGAGACAATAAGTGACAATCGATGACATTTTCTAAAAGCATTCGGTATCTTGTATGATAGCAGGATGACAACATTCAGGGTCAACATCAGCTGAGGAAGATAAGCCCGTGTGAAAGCAAGGACGCATTCTGCATTTACCGAAACTCAGAGATGTATGACTGCGTTAGTCATATCGAAATAATTACAGGAAATTAGATGTGTTTCTTTATGTCTATTTAAATGTCTCTAATAGCTTCCATTAGGGTTATTGTTGCGCGACTGGAAAACAGAAAGACAGCTTTCCTTTAGATCAACAACATTAACACACACACAAAGAGCAAGGGATACTTGTTTCGCCATTTTCTTGATTTTATAAATTCTACCTTGATCTCTTTCTTATGATCTCATTAATTCTTGATGCATTGGTTATACTGTCCCTGTTAAATAAATACCAATAAAGAATATTGAACTAAATGTAATCACCTCTCACATTAGTGACTTATTATTAATGTAACAATATGTATTATCAGCTTTAATGTCAAAATGTTGTTGCTCGGTTGAGGAGTGGCTAATAAGCGGCTGCCCTGGTTAGATGAATCTATGATATATGATATACTTAGTTACTTTGGAATAACTTTAATAATTAATTACAGTTATTTCATCAACTTTTTTATTCTATTAATTTAATTTAATCTTTTAATTCCTCCTCATGCCTTAACCATCTGTCATGAAATACAACAAAACATAGCCTTCCTAAGGCAACACATGCAGTTTCTGCTTCAATGCAGTGTTATACTCCTGGGGGCAGAATTTATTCAGACGATTGAGTGTGAATGGAAAATAGTTGGAGCACTGAGAAAATCTAACCACTGTGGGGTAGTGTTTCTCTTTATAAAAACTCAGATACACCCACAGCTGCGTTAAGAGAAAACTATAAAAAATATGAATGTACACTTCCTAATTCCTTAATATCTGTGTGCTTTTCTGAAATATAAAAGGTGTACATATTAAATAAAACAGGGGACCATGATTAGTGCTTGGTTGCATTCTGGCATTCTAGTTTTTATTTATTTCCTAACAGGCATATACCTATCACATACAGTATATCTGTTTTAATTTAATAAACATTATAATAACATGTAAGTTAGCTGAAAGAATCATTCTTGAGAATAGGATAAGTGAAACAATTTAATGAGTTTACAACAATAAATTGGGGAGGCAATCCCGTATTGCTTCTGTATTTTATTTTTACTTCATGTCTGTACTTTACTTTCACATCCAAACTTTACAAAAAAAGCTTTCAATAATACATAAATAAATAGAAGGGGATAGTAGTGTGATAAAGTTATATAATTTAAAGAAACACTGCCCCTCAGTGCATGTTTTCATCCATGCAAATAGACATGGACATGATTTTAGTCATAGTAAGACTAGTGCAATAATTCCTTTTGGATGTTTCCCAATAAAGCAAAATGCAAGGTATCCAGATGATGACCTCTGCATGGGTACATTCTATGTATTTATAGTCCTTGGCACAATGCACTCCAGGCACTTCTACTGGACTCAAGGTTGTCTAACTTCTCTCTACTGGATAATTTATTGAGTTTCGACCTTTCATGTCTCACTCAGCTGGGTCACAAGTTTGTCACCAAGACAATTTAGTCATTCACAAAACAAGGATGAGTTTCAGCATAGATACCTTGATTGTGTATTGTAAAAGGTCAATACTGTGACTTTAACTTAATACTTGCTATTCTCAGCACTTACTGCTTATATCTTGACATTTCTTACAGGATCAGTCTTCCATTTTAATGTGTGGATCCAGGATGTCTTTGGCTTTGCTTACATTGAAGGAAGAGGCAATGAACTAAATTTAAAGAGCAACTTCCAGGTTAAAGAAACCTGTGAATAAATGTGTAGGAAAATGATGAATACACTAGATTTTCAAAAAGATATACAGAAATATACACTACAGTGACATCTGGCGTCGTTTTTGTAAGAAATGTTCACTTCTGCATAAAAAAGCCTCGGCACGTGACCTCCCGCGTGTGATGTAACATGGGGGAAACAAGGGGGAGAGCGGCCGGTGTAACGTATTAATAAACATGGATCCCAATGCTAGTTTTGACACAGAAGACACAGAAGAAGTTGAACATGAATATTTGAATGCATATGACGGACCACAACCTTATAATTATGAGCCTGCTAGGCGTCCAAGAGACCAGGAGCAGCCAAGGATTAGAAGAAATAACGGCCATCGGAGAGAAATTGAGCTGTGGTGTGAGGAGAACCAGTGGAGAA